TCTTCCAGGTGCAGCAGATGAAGCTTTAAATGAGGTAGACATGGTCCCTGCTCTTGGCTTGGCCAATGGGAGGACCAACTGCACAACTCCGGGAGGCTGGACAGGGTACAGAGGAAAAGAAGACTAAGTTCCATGCCAAATGATGGAAGTGCACTCAGGAGTTTCTGTGCTTGGAATTTTTAGTTTGAAACACATGCTTTTGGTCCAGACAGATATTTTCCAGGTGTTCTTGTGAAGCTGCTTATAGAAAGGTCTCTGGTGGGTCAGCACCTGAGTTCCAGCACAGCAATGAGCTTCCTGCTGGTCAGGTGCGGGTGCTGGGAGCACAGAGGCCTGGGTGTGAATCTGCCCTGTCACTCACAGGAACCTCAGGGAAGTTATCTAACCTGCAATGAACTCATATCCTTACTTGTAAATGAGGAACAAGAGTCCTTTCCCATGGGGCGGCTAAGGGAACCTCATGAGCCAAGGCATGTACAGCTTCAAGCACTGCCTGGCTCCTACTTGGTGTTGAATATGAGGTGACTCTCTTCCATTTTCCTCCAGAAAAGAACAAGAACCTAAGATCGGGGGTGGGAGCCCTGACAATAGGATTATGGAGAAGGCCCTGGTCTTCAGGAAGCTGCCCTGATGGAGGGAAGCCCCAAGGTGCATTCTTGGGGGTTCACTACCCGGGTTAGGGCAGGGCTTGCTGTTCCCTGTAATAAGCCAGCTCGGGGACCTCCCTGAGGCTTTCAGACAGGATGGACCAGAGACCACGGCCCAAGGGCAGAGATGTGGGGTCTGTTAAGACAAGAAAAAAGCCTTTCAAGAGTGAGGTTTGCCTGGCCTCTCAGGTCTGGTCTTCTCCTTGACTAGGCCATGCTGGCTCAGCCCACTGAAGCCTTCCATTGCTCTGAATATGGATAGTGCTCCAGTCTTGGGACAGTGAGGGGCAGACGTTTGCTTCCACTGCTTTGCCAAGAAGAGTGGAAAAGTGGTGTGCTTTGTTCTCCCAAAATTTATGACAGCAGTGAGGGATGAACTCTTGGAACCCAGTGCTCCCTCTCTGTCCATGTCTAGGGTCCTTGGCTGGAAATGAAAACACTCTACCACCCTTTTTAAGGTTGAATCAAGACAGTGTGATATCTTCAAAAACAAGGTATTATGTTTTGCTACATGTTACCAAAATAATCCATCTCTAACTCTTTCTGTGGAATTCTAAGAACCACCCATGAGCTATGGTGCTGTGATAGAAAAATCCATTGTCTTTGAGAAAGAAATCAGATGGCGGCTTGATGCCTCAGCCAGGTCAGCCAGAGGGGACTTAGAGTCTTATTCTTAGTGATGTCTTTTCCCATTCCCCATCTGCTGTTAAGCCCATCTGGGGAATTTTTTTATTTCAGACATTATAGTCTTCAGTTTTAGAATCTTCACTTGGTACTGATTCTTTGCTGAGGGTTTTTCTTCCCTCATTTGTATGTCATTGAGCATAGTTATAATAACAGTTTTGAAATCCTTGTCTGCTGCTTCTAATACCAGGTCATCTCAGGATCTTTTTCCACGATGGCTTTTTCTTTTGAGTATGACCAAGATGTTTCCTCACGTTTAATAATCTTGGATTGTATCCTGGATATTGTGAATATGTTGTAGAAATTTTGGATTCTGTTATGTTCTTCTCAGGAGCAATGATTTTTAAATTTAATTTGTTTTATTTTTATTTTTTGTGATACTGGGGATTGAACCCAGGGGTACTTAACCACTGGGTTAAGCCACATCTCCAGCCCTTTTTATTTATTTATTTTTAAATATTGAGTCAGGGTCTCACAAGGTTGCTTAGATCCTTGCTAAGTTGCTGAGGCTGGCCTCAAATTTGCAATCCTCCTGCTTCAGCCTCCCAAGTTCTGGGGATTACTGGTGTGTGCCACCAGACCCAGCTTAATTTTTTTTAAAGACAGCAGTTAATTTGGCTAAATTCAAATGTCAAACTCTCTCTCCTTGCAGTGAACAGCAGCTAAAATCTCAGATCAGTCCTCGTAGCCTTAGCTGGGCTATCTGGCGTTTGTACCACTCATGCATAACTAGGGGTCTGTCACAGATTTGGACAGAGTACATATCCAGAATTTGGGCTTCTCTTTGGCTCTATTCTTTCTAAAATCACTCCCTTCACTTTCTAGATTCTATTGTTGCCCCCGTGTCTGCCCTCTGGTTTTTCAGGCTGTACGACTGGGGTCCTGAGTTCCCACACCCACAGCATTGATGGAGCAGGGCTGTAAGATGGGAAGCTCACAATGCACCATTCCTTTCTTCCAAGTATCAGCCAATTTGCAGCTTCAGTTTGCTTTTGGTCACTTCCCAGTGCTTTCCATCCCTATTTCATAGATGATAGCCTGTGTGTGGGGGAGGGCTGGTCTGATGGGAGCGACTTGGCTATTACCAGAAGCCACACCTTTCCAGAACATTTATGGCTCAGAATGAATTACTTTCTTCTCACCTGTAGAGCTGTCAAGCTGCTTGAAGAGGAGTGGGTGGCCAAGCGCTCTGTCCATTGGGAACAGATGACATAGTAACCCCAAAGGAAGCAGAGACTAGAGGCTGGTGGAGACAGAGGGTCCCACGGCTCTCCAGGACCTGGAGTGGGGTTATCACCCTCAAGCCCACTGTTCCTACCCAAGCAGGACATCTCTTGGCTCGAGGGCTCCTCTGTTCTCGCCCACATATTGGCTCCTTCTCTCACAGAGCTGATCAGTTGATTAGGTTTCTATTTTTTTGGTTATAATCACAAGCAGGTATGCCTGAGAGCACCCAGGACCCACTCAGTAGGAACACTAAGCATTTCCCACCCCTAAAGTCCTATCTGAGCAATATGGCCTTTGCCAGGTGGCTAATCACGTCCTGTGTGTATATATCATAGATTTATCTGCAGGAAGACACCTCCATTCCGTTTCCTCTAAGTACTGCCCCATAAGTATTGCTCAATCTCTCACTCATTTCTGTCACTGGGGTTGAGAAGTGAGTGACAAACAGTGAGCCCCAGGAACACTGGCTACTCCACCTGGATGGACCTTCCACTCTAGCCCAGGTGTTGCTTCTCTGGGGAGCCTCCCAGGCTCTCAGGCCCCGTCCTTATGGGCACTCCTTAGGGCTCCCTGTGTACCAAGGACTCTCAGTGTTAGGCTTAGCCATGTTTCTGCATCTTTCTGGAGGAGACATGCCCCTTAGAAGCAGGCCTGAGTCCTAGTCCACAGCCCTCCTGTGGGCCCAGCCTACAGCATGCATTCTGTAAGCGTCTCCTGACTGCTTGGTGACTGGCTGTGGAGCACTCTGAGGAAGCACTGAGAAGACTGGCCAACTCTGAGAAAGTTATAATTATAAAAGCCTTGGGCTTTATCTGGGGGTCTGTGGGCAGTTTCTTGCAGAAGTATGGCTCCTGTTGGAACTCAGAGGTGGCTGTAGGCAGGCCCAGCGAGTAGGGAGGTGCCCCAGTACATTGCTGAGTTTAGACGAGTAAAGGCTATGCCGGCCCTTAAGCTGCTTCTCTGCTTGTTTCAAAGTCTTGCAGCTGCTTCTGCTCTCTCCGCCACCATCCCAGGAACACACAGAATAATGCCTCGGCCAGGGTCCAGTGTTCCTATAGCATTTCTGGATTCTCAGAGTTGTGATTCTGTGAAAGGCAGGGCTGCCTGCTGGGGACAAAGTCCCTCCACTGAATTTTCCAAAGGTTCCCAGCAGCTCAGGAACCTGGTGAATTCACTTGGGTCCTTGGTCTCAGATCATCCAACAAGGTTCTGGTTTCAAAAGGGGAACAGAGATATCACCTGAAGTGAGCAACACGTACATGGTGATTCCAGCTGTCAGGCAGGTGGGAGCAATGGAGGCTGTGAGGTGGAAGCTTGGGGTGGAAGCCCTGCCAGCATCAGGGCTAAAAGCAGCCAAATTACCCTCTTCACTAGCATCTCAGCCAATGACTCACTGCTTATATTTGCACAGTGTAGCTCTTTTCCTCTTCAGGAAAAAATAAATGCTCCAGAAGAAGCCCAGTGGGTGGCCATGAAGTCTACCTTCATCTGGGGGTGGGGACTACTGTGGGGGACTCTGCTGTCCTCTTGGAGCCCAGTTTACTCACAGTGGGCCTCCCTTTCTCCTGACAGAGCAGGAGGGTCCAGCCTCACTTGGGGCATTTGTTGAAATAGCCCAGCATTGAAGCAGGACCCAGATAGGTGGCAGATGACAAGAGATGGGGGCTAGCTGAGCCAGGTGCTGCCTCAGCAATCATACAAGAGCATTTTCTGAGAAGGAGACCAATACTGGCACCTCAGACAGGGCCACATGCTCAGGTGGTGACAGAATCAAGACTTGGGCTGCGCAGGGTGGGAAGGCAGTGTTGGATCTGCTGAGCTGGAGCTCGTGGCACATCTGGAGCAAGGGTGCAAGGCACTGAGGTCTAGTTTACTTGGCAGAATGCTGCTTTCCCCCAGAATGGAGACCCCAGGAAGCTTCAGAGGACACTGAAGAGGAAACAGGCCCAACAACTGAGGAGAGTCCCAGCATCCCATTGTCTCCACTGAGCTCACTTCTGGTGTGTCTTCCAGACACAGTGTGCACAACCAGAACATTCTCAAGGTCATCAGTGTGCTCAGTTAGTATTATGTGCCTTCTCTATGCCAGGCTATGAGCAAAACCCTCTAGGCTCCTGCCCTCTGGAGCTCATGGTGAGTTACACCTGAGACCCTGAACAGATAAGAAAGTGCAGAGTTGGCACCTCAGTGCCACAGTAAAGGCTCTGCCTATGCTGGAGGCCATGGGCCAGCAGGATGCAATTTGAACCCACTGGAACCTCCCCAGTGGAACTTTAGATGAGACCACACTCCAGCCAGCACCCTGATTGCAGCCTGCAAGGGCTCTAGTCCCTACACCCATAAAAACTGTGAGGGGATGAGGGGCGTTGTTTTAAGTCAATGTGTCTATGGTAACTGCTGCCCCAACTCCTGGCCTGAGGGTTGGTTCTGTCCTCTGTTGGGGGCTGTCTTTGGCTGCTGGCCCAGCTGGGTGAGTTCTGTTCTGGGACAGATCAATGAGTGCTGAGAAGCGAAAACAAGACAAACCAGGCCCCATTTGAGGTAGTTGCACTCTCTAAAGCCTTGGTGTTTGTGTGTGGAGGAGGATCCCAAGCATGACAATGATGCCTGGTGTGGCAGTGTGCTGGTACCTGCTGACTCCCCTGACAGTGTTGGCAGTGACACTGTGATTTGGCAGTGTGAAATGGTCTGACTAGTGCTGGGTGACACCATTGTCACCAGTGTTTGTGTAAACAACATACAGGGACTCTCAGAGTGGTTTCTCTTAAACATGGCTGTACTTAAATATAGGCACACAGTCATCCAGCTCATAGGTGACCCCAAGACCTAAACCCCTGCCGTCAGCCCACCTGCTCCATAGACCACGGAGTATACCACCTTCTTGGTCTGCTCTCTGTCTGCGTACGTCACATGCTCCATGGGAATGTCCTTCCTGTATGGAAAGACAGCATGTGTCAGGCATAGTCAGCACTGTGTACAGAGAAGGCAGCTGGGATCTTGGCTGGGCTGTGACTGTGGCTGCTGTAGTCCCCTGCAGGATTGGACGATCAGCCTCTGCATTGGTCTCCCAGAGACAGCAGGGTGAGCCCTGCCTTGGGGTTAAAACATTCAGATAGAATTAGGATCAACTCTACTTCTGACTGGCATACCAACCCCAGCAATCTCCAAAGATTAAAGCTGAGACAGCTGAGAAGCTCAGTGTTCTGCACATGCCACCAAGGGTCACTCCTCCCTGCCTGAGCATCCTCCAAGGACAGGCAGCCAGCTCTGTTTGCTGCTCTTGCAGACATTCTCAGCATCTACACCAGGCTTCCCTCATGAACTGAGCACAGATTAAGGAGCCAAAAGGAGAAGAGAGACACAGCCAGAGCCAGAAAGACAGAGAGGAAACCTCTCCCAGTGTTTGTGAGTGGCTCTGTGATCGGCCCGCTTCGCTGCATAGCCAGGGGGTTCCCAACGATGCCTCAGCCTTCACTTCCTCCTTGCACTGAGCCTCAAGACCAATCTAAGGTAGAAGGTCTTTTCCAAGCATGGGAGTTGTCTTGGACAGGCAGGAGGCTTTTTAGATTTTCCAGTATTCACAAGCGCTTTAGTATGGCCTACTTTCCCAAAGAATGTCTCTCCTTGGCTTTTCCTCCAGAGCATTCAGTGTCCTATTGTTTGCTTCAACTGTAATTATTTTGCCCACCACTTTCCTGTGCCAAATGGGCACAATGACAAGCACCTGGATCAGTCCTCCAGGCAGCCCTGGACTCAGGAGAAGAGACACACATGCCTCTTTGAGATCAAGGCAAGCTCCGCTCCCTCTGGAACCAAGGATCAGGTCCTGAGTGGAGGTGGGACAAGTGGATACTTCAAAGCTCTCCTCACACTCTCTAGCTGCCTTTTCTTGACTCAGCTCTTGCTGGGGAAGACCTTTGCCTGTTCTTCAGAGAACTGACAAACTTTGTTCTGGTAGTTTCTGCTTGATATCTGTGTTTCTGAAGGGGACATGGAGCTACCTCCTGTACATTTTCTAGGGCGTAACAGATACCGCCTGATTTCTAAGTGCCCATGTATACGTAGTGTTCCCCCTTTTCCAGTTGTGGCAAGCTCTTTTGCCCACTTGTTTCTCTCACCCTTAAATTTGCTATTGATAAATACTGAATGTAGATAGGAAGCAAAAAGCCAAAATGTATACAGGCTCAGAACATGTGTCAGCTCCTACATGACACTTCTTAGCCATATTTCCTGCCTTTATTTTAAAAATACCATGCATGCTCTACTCTAAATCTGCTCCCAGGAAACACTCTGCTGATAAATGTATTTAGAAATCCCCAGCACCAAAACAAACAAAAAACCAACAACAGCTTCCCTCCAGGGCTGCCGGCCACGAAAGCAGACAATGCCTCAGCTCAAAGGGACCAGCTGAGAGCCACAGAAGGAAGTAAGGAATCTGAGCAGGGCACACCCTGCCAGACGTAGCTCTGATCCTTCCTCAGAATGACAGACCGGTCAGGGCCATCTCTAAGGAGGCTTCCCAGAGTCAGACTGGCAGACTAGTCAACAGCACAATCTGACAAAAGAGGCTGAACTCTCTTCTTGGGTACATATGGTCATATATTAAATCAGAAAAAAATTCGCAAAATGTAGAAATGTTAACATTCTCTGATCACAGTGCAATAAAACTAGGAACAAAAACTAAATGAGCCCTTGCATCTAGAAATAAACCAAACCTAAACCAAAACCAAAAAACTTCTATCAACCATCTTTTGTATGAACAGAAATATAAACAGAAATTATATTGTTTCCAATAAAAACACTTTATATTAGAACCAATCATTCCTATGTTACTAAAAATGAAAGAAAAAAGTAAATAAACTTAGTTTTCAGTTCAAAAAGGAAGGAAGAGAACAAGTAAACAAACCAAAAGAATATGAAAGGAAGGAAATTATAAAGCTAGAATAAAGACAGGAGCAGAGGGCTGTGGCTATGTCTCAGAGGTAGCATGAGGCACTGGGTTCCAATCTCCCGCACCACATAAAAAATAAAATAAAATAAAATAAAATAAAGCTATCTTCATTTTCTAGGCTCAGAAATAATTTATACAGCATACAGACTATTTGATTCCTAAGCCTATAACTAAATATAAATAAATAAATATTAAAAAAAAAGACAGGAGCAGAAATTAGTGATGTCGAGAACAGAAAGACATAGATCAAATTAATAAATAAATGAAATCCTGGTTCTCATAGAAATAAAATATACAATACATTATCTAATTTTATCAAAAAAGGAAGAAAGTTTGAATGATAAAATAAGAAATAACAAAGAAAGGTAATTACTGACATAGAGGAAATAAAGACCTTAAAAGTTATTTTGTAAAACTTTATATGAGTAAATTTGAAACCCAGGTTAGATGGATAATACCTGAAGAAAATATAGCTATAAAAATTGATCTCAGCCAGCAGCTCAGGAGGCTGAGGCAAGAGGATGGTGAATTCAAAGCCACTCTCAGCAAAAGTGAGACGTTTTTACTCCAAAAAAGTGTAAAATTGGGGTGGGGATGTGGATCAGTGGCTGAGTATGCCTAAGTCCAATCCTGAGTACCCTCCCCACAAACGGACCTCAGTATAGATGAAAGTTAAATAGTCCAATGTCTATAGAAAATAGAGAAAATATTTAAGGAACTACACTACAAAAAAAAAACAAACCCAAAACAAACAAAAACCCATCCCAAATGGTTTCATATGGAATTCGATCAAAACAAAGGAATCAAATTGTCTCTACGCTGCATAAATTATTTCTGAGCCTAAAAATGAAGAAAAAATTTCCAATTTTCTTTTATTAATAAAGAATAACAGTTATATCTAAACATGGTAAAGAGACTATCAGTATACAGGAAAGTAGCAACTGATACCTCATGTGAATACTAATTGATGTAATACTTCTGAACAGATACAAGCAACATATGCCAAGAACACAATAAGAAGCACTCGCTCCCAGCCTGAGGCACCAAGGAGGAGGAACAGAGCAACCCCTGCTAATAGGGGGAAGAGGCGGACAACTGAACTGTGCCTCTCACCTACAAACATAGCTCTCCACCTGCAGGAACCTACAGACAACAGCCAGGACTGGGAAGACCATCACCAAGGTCCCTATCACCTAGAGACAACAGCCAGGACTGGGAAGATCATCACCAAGGTCTCTTTCACCTAGAGACAACAGCCAGGACTGGGAAGATCATCACCCAGGTAACTGCCAAGAAGAGACATCAGGTAGGAAAAGGAAGACCATCGCCAAGGTCCATGCTACCCAGAGACAACAGCCAACACTGGGAACACCCACACCAAGGTCCCTGAAACCTAGAGACAACAGCCAGGACTGGGAAGACCAACAACAAAATCCCTGTCACCTAGAGACATCAGCTAGGACCGGGGAGAATAACACCAAGGTCCCTGTCACCTAGAGACAGCAGCCAAGACTGGGAAGACCATCACAAAGGTCCCTGCCACCTAGGGACAACAGCCAGGACTTGCAAGTCCCTCACCAAGGTCCCTGCACCTAGAGAAAACAGCCAGGACTGGGAAGACCATCACGAAGGTCCCTGTCAATTAGAGACAACAGCCAGGACTAGGAAGACCATCACCAAGGTCCCTGTCACCTAGAGACAACAGCCAGAATTAGGAAGACCCACACCAAGTTCCCTGCCACCTAGAGACATCAGTTGGATCGGGAAGACTAACACCAAGGTCCCTGTCACCTAGAGACAGCAGCCAGGACTGGGATGACCCTCACCAAAATCCCTGCAACCTAGAGAAAACAGCCAGGACTGGGAAGATCATCACCAAGGTCTCTTTCACCTAGAGACAATAGCCAGGACTGGCAAGTCCATTACCAAGGTCCCTGTCACCTAGAGACAATAGCCAGGACCGGGAAGACCAACATCAAGGTCCCTGCTAACTAGAGACAACAGCCAAAACTGGGAAGACCATCACCAAGGTCCCTGCCACCTAGAGACAAAAGCCTGGACTTGGAAGACCATCACCAAGGTCCCTGTCACCTAGAGACAATAGCAGGACTGGGAAGACCATCAAAAAGTCTCTGTCACCTAGAGATAACCACCAGGACTGGGGAGACATAAC